ATTATATATTGTAATAATTTACTCCAGGTCCAGAACAATTTTACTCTTTTTTGGGAGTTGAAACGACCCCTGGAGTAAAATTAAGGAGTACAAATTACTCCATAATTTCTACTCCTAAAAGCGAGTTTAGTTTACTCCTCCAGCGGAGTTAAATTGACTCCTGATGGAGTAAATTGTGGAATGCGCGCCGAAGTGGAGTAGTTTTAACTCTACTTTGGGAGTAGATTTTACTCCACAATTTTTACTCTCCCGAGTTGAGTAGTTTTAACTCCTATGGTGGAGTTAAAATAACTCCTTGAAATTAACAGTGCGTCATTGCCAAAATCTAGTAGGGCCTTTACACGGGCTCAGCAGGTGGGGTTGATTTTGAGTGTGTTTGGAATATGGTTTGTGAGAGGGACAATACTACTAAATCAATGTTTTCCCCCCGTTCTTTAGCATAACATATCTATTGGAGAACATATGTAGAAGTCCATAAATGTTATCGTTCTTTAATTTAAAATAACTTAACAGTGTAACATGCAACATCATGTGCACCTTAACTGGCATTGTAAATCAGCACACCAACAGCTTTTTTAAAATTTCTATCAGCTTAAATTTGCATCCAATATCAATTTCTTCCAATCAGTATTTACTAAGATATCGAATTGGCGTAATTACCGAACTTTTATGAATTTAAAATTAGAAATTTTATAAGAATATAATACTGTACATTGAAGAACCGATCGCAACGTCAAGGTGATATAATAGCATGTATTAGATGTTAAAGAAAATTTTATTAAGTCTTTTTTCTCGCAGACAAACTAAGATATATTTATAGTTATATTAGCCGTTAGTATTGCATATAAGTTATCATCTGAAACCCATGTATACCACCTGCAAACCAATTAAGAAAGGAAAACAGATTAATTGACCAATATTCAGTATTCTGTGTAAATAATAGAACATAACGTGTAGTATATAATCAACTATTAGGCAGTATCGAGCCTATCGTCCTTTGAAAGCCAAAAGCAAACCTAATAGTACGTACCTAAAGTTTTTATTGCATGATTCATTGATCAAAGCTGTTCGGTTGATCGAAAAGTATCAGTTTTCTACACTCACTTACGAATAGAATATATGTAGTCTATGTACTACTCTTCAATATTTTGTAATTATAGTTGAATCGTTTGTTATACATTAACTAAACCCTCCCATCATTGCGTATGGAAATTCTACGTTTACTTTTATAAACATAGGCATTTAGTGAAATTTGAATTTTAATCAGGGTAAATCAACCTTTAACACATATTGGCTGTTTTCATTATCTATTCACAGGTATTCATAAATATTTAATGCGATTCCAATTTACATTAAAAGATATATAGGCACATGTCATACTAGTTCCGTTGCATTTCTTGTCATGATGGCGGTCGCTAAATACAAGGTGATCAAATAGTTTTTGATTTAGTAATATTTTTTATAGTAGAATTGTATTACGAAGTAGAAGACCTTTTGGGAAAATATCGTCAGACGTTTAACTAGCTTGACTGAATACAGATAAATGGGCGATGAATATTTTTAACTTCAACAATATAACTGCAATAAATGCCGCAAATTTTTCCGTCAGGATATGTGATGAGACGTAAGTAACTACTCACAATATTTATCTGATATTTAATACTTGACTGAAAAACTTAATTTCCAAACCTGTCTTACGTTTAATAAACGGTTATCAGTGGGTTGAAATGGGAACAGAAATGTAATGAACACTTGATGTTTCAACTAAGCCAGAATATTAAAATTATAGTAACTCGTCTTAAGATGCTCATTTATTAAATTGAAAAAAAATTCACTTTTCATTAGATTTGGTATGACATTATTTTTCGTTACCCTGCCGGCAATAGGTTTTGCGGTACGCAGTAAAACGTTCATTTTCGTAACGGAAAATGGATAAGATGGAAATTAAAACCCCGACGAAATATTTCGTTTGTTATTGCTGACGAATATTTCTGCCCGCGTTCGTGCGCAATTTTTCATGCCACCTGCCAATATGACGATCAAACGTATAGCTACGATAATCAGAACATGCAAAACTGACCCGTTTCAGTCACGCAACACCTACCTTAGCGATTAGTTATTTCTCTTCCCTTATCCGTTGTAAAAAAATCATTGTCTTAATGATCCTTGACCTTGGTACAATTTAACGCTGAAATTTCAAATTTCACCTTTTTCATTGTAAAAGGAACCAGGTAGCCATAGCAACAGATCATGCTGCGCAAATTTTCAACGATTTGCGTTATTCAAACCTTTAGAAATGTATTGTCTTTAACCTGATTTTTTCTGTGTTGGTGTAATGTACTCAGGTGAATATGATATTTGTGATGTTACTCCGAGTGTATATCCACACCGGACAAGCTTGAAAAATATGCCTGACCACGGTAGGAATCGAACCTACGACCGTTTAACCTATTAAGATGCAAGTTTATTAGCACAGCATGACCATCCTCGCCTACGCAGTGATGAGCAGCTTGAGCTTCGCTTTGCTTACAGTAGCCATAACTCGGCAAGGTTTTTTGTCAATTTCTTCACCAAAAATATTGTTTAGAAGCTCGCCTTCTTGTAAATATCACATGCTTTGAAGTACTCAAACGCAAATTACTAATCTGTTATATTATGCGCACAGAGAGTTGATTGTTGATGAGTTGATCTGCAGTGTTAATATACTGTAATCAAATTGCAGGACAGAATTTTGATTTCAGTTCGCGCGGATACAAGACGGCAATTCATGATGGCTGAAATCCTTCACTGAAATCCATCCAAAGAGTACTTTTCCTTTACTTTACTTTTAAAAACATTTCACTTTACAATGGCTATTGCACAGGGCATTTTTTAAGAATTCATCAGTGGGGGGCCATCTACAAAAAGGGACCATACTATACCGAGTGTGGAGCAATGATAGATGGTTTGTTGGTAACAAAAAGTTTGGTGTGGTATCGCATTTAATAGTAGGGGGGGGGGGAGAGCAGGGCCGTAGGAAGCTCTTTTCGTTTGGGGGGGGCTGAAAGCGAGGGCCGAAGGCCCGAGGAAATTTTTAAATTTAGAGTCTCTGAAATGCCATTTCCTGGACTTTGGAGAAGATTTGACAGATTTCTGATTGTCAGAAAACAGCGTTTTTAGTATGTGGAAATTTAGAATTCAGTAGTACTAAATGGGCGAAGGTGTATTTAATTAACGATATATTGGATAATATGCCCTGGAGAGGGTCTGGGGTTTTCTCTCCCAGAAAATTTTTGTATTTTTCTACCCCTATGACTGCAATTCCCTGCATTTTCTGAAACAGATTTTTGGATATACAGCATTACATTATGCTGTAGATAGACTGAACCTTCAGTTAAGTACTTCATAGTATGTTTATGTAGACACCACAACTTGGCCGTCACTTAGGGAGCCAGCTTGATAAACTTAGAATTCCCGACTCCCACGAAGCGCCACCATGGTTGGCTCAGAGCGAAAAATTTTGAAAATTTTGCGTCTCTAAATCGTCGGAAATGGCATTTTCAAAGTCTTGTATACGTCTTTTGTTAGGCCCTTTCATTAATTCGTTCATTATGATTTTCGAGTCTATGATATCCGCGAGTCATGATGGATTATTACGAGAAATGTTATCAAAATATCGATTACAGATATTTGATTATATCTATATATGATTTCAAATACTTCTAGTTTCGAAATCAAATTGGTTTTTTTTGGTGGAGGGCCAAAATTATCCCCCCCCCTTATAAAACTCTTGGTTGAGGGCCTGTTGCCCCCTGCGGTCACTAACTTGTTCAACAACTCAAATCTATAAGGTCTGGGAAATGCAATCCACTGCCTGGGAAATGTTTTAAAATCTAAGGTATTTATTAAACATAAAAGACAGGACATAAGATTCACAAAGCAAATTTCAGTTACTAGAATATCAAACCTCCCTTCTAAACTCAATGTTTTGCTTATATTTTAGAGAAAAGGGACTTTGACTGGGGGGGCCAAAATGGTTGAGTGGGGGGGCCACCATGGGGGCTGGGGGTGCTTTGGCCCCCCCAGTTATATAATTAAAAAATGCCCTGCTATTGCAATGAAATACGAATATGGTCTTTACTACGCATGCCTAACCGGAACCTGCTCACACAAAATGTTGTGTTACGGTATGGGCGGCAATGTCGCTTATTTCTGGCCATGAGCTTCTTTAAACATGGGAAATGCAGACATTTCCGCTTGGTTCCTCATATGAACACGATGTAAATTTTTAGGATTTAAATACATAAACAACTTTTCTTGTGGAAGAGCTGGCATGAGCAGCTCCTTGTCAAAGGAAAACTTGTGAATAGACCCATTGCAGATGCTCCCTAACAATATCTGTTCGGGAACAACAACCACATACAGCGGAAAATATAACCATTTTAATACAAAATTATCATAAAGTTTTACAAAATTAGCTTTGTTTACACAAGTTATATTATGCATAGATTGCTAATTTGTCCTCCAGATGCTGTGACGTCATGTGCAATGGGTCTATTTGGGCGTGCGCAGAACGAATGAAAGTTGTGAAGGAAAACATGTCAAGGAAACCTTGCTCATCTGTACGGGGGTTAAATATCATTGTTATATATAGCTAGGGTGAACACCAAACATAATTTGCTGATTTGTGGTCACGTGCCTTTAGATAAATGCAATGTTTCCCGCCGGGCAACAAGTGAAAATTGTTGCCCGCGCCGACTAGCTACGTACATAAATAAACAAAATTGTAGCACAACTCTGAACAACTTATGAACTTGCGTTCATAAATTATGTAAAGAATGTTACAGAACAGAAAAAATACACAGCAGGCATGATGCCCTATTGCATGTGCATCAATTAGTTGGAATTTTCACACGAATTGCTATGTTTCCCTTGTACATTATAACCTACTGTCTATTACTTATATAATTTGCTATAATTCAAGTAGATAGAATTTTTAAGAACTTTCTCAATATTTATAGACACGTACTTATAGATGGGAACAAATCGTCAGAATATATCAGTAAATTTTTTGATGAGATCGAAGAAGAAATAGATGATTCCCCCTGTTCACCAGCGTTCCACAAATGGCTGCCGGTGATGCTCATATGTTTGATGGTGTTTGGAATTTTATTCAATGGTTTTATCTTGCTGACGTTTATTCAGTTACCAAGGATACGCAGTTTTACCAATTATTTTGTCGCAAGTTTGACTGTAGCTGATATTCTTATGGTTATTCTTAATCCAATTCTATTCCTTCTATTACTTTACGAAAATATCGAGTATGAAATTGGCGACATTCTTCGTTTTCACTCCGAAATATTTTGTTCAATGGCATCACTGATCAGTTTTGCTTGCATCAGTGTGGACAGAATGCTGGCCATTGCAAAGCCACTGTACCACCGTACTTTACCACGATCACGTTGTATAAAGATTATTGTCTTAATATGGATCTTTTCTGTAATTGCGACTCTTCTAGACTATTTTGTAAGTGAAAACGATGTAGTGGATGGTTTTATCGTCACTTATTGTAATTTTTGCATTGCGTTTGCCATCCCAACATTAATTACCATAATTTCGTATGTTATCATTGCAAGAGTTGTCATTTGTAGACGAAGGAGAACTTTCCCGGAAACAGATCAGAGCGGTAGCACTCGAATGAAACACACCATCAGGATAGCATGGAAAATATTGTTGGTAATCTTACCTGGTATTGTCATGTGGTGCGTTTACTGGGTCCCAGTGTTTATTGAATCTACTGATGAAGAAGAAGATAAATTTTCTATTTCTTTCCTAGAAATAAGAAGTTTACTTCCAATCTTTGCTGCTGTTGTGAATCCACTGATATTTATTCTACTTACACCAGAATTTCGAAAACATCTATTGAAGTTAATTTGTTGCCGAAGTCGAACTGATTTGGGTAGAATGACTAATACGATCCGTCCTACCCAAATGAGAGCTACAACGTTGTCAGTATGACATTACACACCAAAAAATCATTTTCTTATTTTAAGAAAAACAACTTGTTTTAAAGTGCATATGACATGAAATTTCTTATTTTCTTGAATGAAAAAACTCTGTAAGCTGTAGTGTAACTTATTTTTCAGTTTCTTGTTTTTATGGTGTGTTTCCGAGATATTTCAATTTGTTTGATATGTAAATGAGTGTGAATATGTCCGCTAATTTATGACGTCACATTGGTTGCAAGCTCAACTTACACTGGTTATAAATCTATTAACTCTAAAAACTGTAAATATCAGTTCACGATTTTCTTCAGTGTTTCATCACATTTACCAGTGAATGAAGTTTGAAATTATCATCTTGGATGATAGTGCAGTGATATTCAACCATTTTGAAGAGCTTGCAACCAATCTGACGTCATAAATTAGTGGACATATTCACACTCATTTACATATCAAACAAATTGGAATATCTCGGGAACACACCATAAAAACAAGAAACTAAAAAATAAGTTACACTACAGCTTAAAGAGTCCTTTCCAGTGGCGGCGCCAGGCCTCCAAATTTTTTTTTTTGGGGGGGGGGCATTTGAGGGGCAAACTCAAATTTGGGGGGGGGCAAGATAGAATTTTTAATAAGGTCGCCCCCCACGATATTCGCCCCCCCAGGATATTCGCCCCCCTCAAAACGTGGCGATATTCCTAGGAATACCACCCCCGGGGGAGAATATCCTAGGAATATCGCCTACCAGGGGGGTGGGGCGAATACCCTAGGAATATCGCCCATCTTTAGGACATTCGCCCCCCATATATGCGATGTGGTTTATTCAAATAATTTTGTGATACTTTTATCTTATTAGTGCCTTACACGTTTGAGAATTTAACTCTGCAAAACTAAAGCTTTTTTGTCTTTTTTTGAAACGTATTATTGGAGTATTGGCAAGTTTTACCATTCAGAGATTTACAAACTAATATTGAAACTGTAAAAAAAACAGTTTCATGTATACGCGCATTCACTAATGAGTAATGACAACTTATAAGCCATACATTTTCCGATGACGACAAAACGCTTGTGTAGCCTTTAGTCGCTCTTAGTGACTAATAATTTTTTTGAGGGGG